GTGCTAGATATAGAATTGTCAGTTATAATTGACTTCAAAAAAGTGGGTTGTGTTATTTTTTAAATGTATCTGCACCTGTAGCCATGAGTGCCTCCTGATAACCCTTCTATACTGAGCAAAATAGAAGGTGCTTTCCTGAGATGTTACAGATTATTCAAAACTGCATTTATATTGTCACATCTGGGATTGTCAGTTTGAATAGAGGGGTTTCTTTTTTAGAATAGTTCGTATTTCATCCTAAAACTAGCCTGTGTTTTCAACAACACTATCCTAGGCTTATAAATCTTCTTCATCAACATAATTGATTTTGGTTGTGTTACATTTTCTGAGCTGCTTTTTATTGGAGCTGTATATACAGGTGATTTTTTTTTTCCTCCTTTGGCTTGACAACTGAAGTGGGAATGTAGAGGAATGGAATCTTTCCCTGTTTTCCTTCCTCTTGTAGCTACACAGATGATTGATCTTGTCAGTGGGACATGTTCAATAAAATGCATGGAAAGGAAGGGCAAAAATCACCAGAGGAGATGAAGAGGACAGTGATCTGTTCACTTCAACTCCTACCAGCAGACCTGTCGCTAGAGCACACGCCTAGGTGATGGTGGAGGCGCTCCTCTGGGGTGACTGAGAAGAGAGCTGCAAATCCTGCAGCTCTTGCTTCCTTTGGTCATGAGCAGAACATTTGGGACTGACAACATTTATTTGAAAATCTAACACCCCCTTTATGTCCATTCCAAAAAACATTACCACATCAATTTTGATGGGAAATTTGGTCTGTATTCTACATAGTTAAATTTGAGTTAGCACTAGTGCCCACAAGTATGGCCTCTTTTTTTTTTTTTTAACTTCCATTTGGTACCATGAAATTACCGCCATGTCCAGCTCCTCCTTACAGTAACTATTGTATTTGCCATGTTTCCTTTCTGTTGTTTAAATTCGCAGGTTAATATAATGCAAAAAAGTGTTAAGAATGTAACCTGGCTTTGTCTCATGCAAATAATTTAAAATCTTTGTGGTATTTAAATAGGATTGCTCAAAAATACAAATGATACTTGCAATGAATAGCAGATTTTTTTTTTAATGAAAGTGAAATTACTGATGGAGTTAAACCTGACAATTATTGGAGGTTAAAATTCTACTGAAATAGGTGCACACGTGGAGCAATACACAAAGCACTAAGTGAAATGCTCATATTTGCTTGATTTATTCTCTGCAGCAGACGGACTCTGGTAGTAGGAGGTGTAATTTGCAGCACATTAGCTATTAGCCATGTCATTGCTTGAGTGGGTGGTGTGAGTCTCGGGTGCGTGTACAGTGTCACACTGCGCATGTGCCAGGCGCTTCTCCCCTGTGCTGTAAGATGCTTTTTTTGTGAACACTGTTCTGTATTTAAAACTGTGAATTGCCAGTTTTCAAATGGGTTATTCTGTGACACAGAAAATATCTAGAATAATGCCTTTTCCCTCCTTTCCTCCCCCCTCCCTGCTGTTCCCTCCCCTAATTCTTAATGTTTTGCAAAACTGGATTGTAGAGGTGTTTGATGTTCCTACCTTTTTTGGTATGCAGTCCCCTGAGGATCAAGTATGTCATTTGCAGGATACCCAGCCTGTAACTTACAGAAAGCAGAACTGTGCTAATGGTTGGGGGTTTTTTGGGTGCCCTGTGCATGCACTTCTGGTGTTCAGCAGAGGTCTTCCAGAAGTGTCAGCTCGATGCATCTTTTTTTTGTGTGCACAATTTCATTTGTGTTGCTCTTAGTTCACTTTTTTTTTTTTCCCCTGGAGGCACCTGTCTCCTGCCACATACCCATCAAGACTAATTGCACCATCTGGAAGATTTTTGTGTTGCCCTTACTTGTGCAGGGTATCTCTGGGGAGCTTAATTCAGAATGTGAATGTGACCCCTGAAGCCATGTCAAGTAGCTGCAGTAGTTTCTATTGTCTAAAGGATGATCACTATAGGCTTTATTTGTTTCAAGTCTAATGTGGTTTGCTTTAGTGTGGATGTGTTATGTGTCAGTAACACAACTTCAGTCACATTTTGAAAATGGAGTTAGACTTTGACTACTGGTTTGGTAATTCACAGAATATCCTGTCTAAAAGTACATCCAAACCATATGTAACATATAGGCTGTATGATTAGGTGTAGAAATGATAGACATATTGCTCCTTATTATTTGATTTTTATGTCCTCTTCTTCCCCCCCACCCACAGCTGCACTTCTCATTAACGGTTTTTTGTTAAGAATGCAAGGTATTCATTGCTAGCTGTGTTGCAAGGCCCCTGAACAGCTCTGAACACTTGTTTTCGCTATTGCTGCAGACCTGTTCGAGTATTTTCAGCACAGGTAATTTTCTTCTACTATTCCTCACCTAGTTTGAATCAGGTAAAAGTGCTTCACTTCTACTGCCTATCTAGGCAGTGGCTTTTTTAAAGGCCAGTTCATAATCCTGTAATGAACACTTTTTTTCTCTACTTTTGTCATATCCTGTCCCATGGCAAGCTGTAGAGCACTGGGCACGAAAAACCAAAGTGTTCTGATTGTTAAAAGTATCACTACAATTTGCTATGCTTTTTTTTCAAAGGCATTATTCATTTCTCGTGGAATCCTGCCTCTAGTAATTCACTCAGATTTTACCAAATATGTGGAAAAAATCCAATTATTTTCCTAAAACCAATTTTCTTCAAAAATGGAGTTGTAAATAGTGTTGAGGAAATATATTCAAATTCAGTTGCATCATCTGTGTACCTTATGTTGCTGTAATATGGTCAACTGAAGTTCAAGCCAGAGAAGTACTTACACCACCACAAACAATTATGAGTTCTGTATATAGGATGTGTACACACTATATATTATTCATTATATGTATTTTCTGTTTTTCCCTGGGTGGTTTAATGTTCATTGTGGCTCTGACTTTGGAAATCTATGGAGTTTTAAGTGTATAACTGCTTGGCTGCATTCTGTTAACTGTATATTGGTGCATGGTAAGAAAAGAATTATGTATTTGTGTGCTTGGTGAGAATAGAGGTATGCAGGTTATAAATTCAGTGTTGAAGGCAAGCAGCTGTCCCCTGCTCCTTAAGATCCCTCACTAGGTGTACCCACTAAACAAAATAAAGGTGCACATTGCAAGACCACAGTGTGTGCCTGTGTGAAGAGATCTGAGCTGTGCAAACTTCTGTGGATTTGAGTGGCTAGAAAGTGCTGGGGGACTGAACCAAAAAAAAAAAAAAGTAATTTCTGCTTGGGGAAGTTAAACAGTATCTTCCTTTCACTGCATTTTGTGCTATTTTAGTCAGGGTTGCTGTGAGTGTGGGGTGTCATGCTGCCAGGCTCAAAGGGCACACCTGACCTGCCCAGGGTGGGCCAGCCTGTTTAGTCTGCAGGTGGAATAAATAGCATGTGGGCAGATTACAGAGGCACAGAAGTCATGACCTCATTTGGCTAGTTAGATCTCACCAGAGCTAAAAATGTTGTGGGTTGTGGTGAAAAGCCATACTGACCTCCTATTATCTTAATTGATCATGGCATTTGTAGGGTGCAGCTGCACTGAGTGTGAGCTCAGAAGCTTCTCTGGAGGGAGAAGTATTAACCTGGAATCAGTATGGGTGTGAAGATCAAGCCCAGTAGCTGTCTAGCACCAGCTACCTAGATGGATCTGCTCATTCTCCTCCTAGAGGATATATTTTGGGCCATTTTCCCATCACTGCCCCATGGGCTGTAAAGACTCAAGAAGTCAGGATTTTATTTGCAGTAGCACAGGAACTTTCACACAGAAGGGTGCTATGTAAATTATTATTTTCATGTTTGTATCTGTGTTAATGAAGTAGCATACAGAATATATTCTTGTTTTGTAGAGTAATGACAAAATGCCAAATGAAACTTTAGCTTGCATTCACTGTTTTCTTTATTCAAACAAACTTGCAATATGAACATCCTAGATTTTCATTCAGCTGTTTTAAAGATAGTTCCATTTTGATTTCCTTCAGTTATTAGGGCTAAAATTATACTCTGGAATAAAACAAGTTAAAGTGCTTAGTAATTTGTAATGTGGTTCTTCTTATGATTTATTTAACAAATATTTAGATGATATTAGAGGTATGGGCTCTTATTTATTGAAAATTAGCTTACAAATTTAATAGCATCTGGAATGTATTATCCTTTTGTCTAGGTATTTAGCCATATTGATGAATGTAGGAAGTAGAAAGTAGTTTGACAAGAACGGGAAGAATACAGTTGGAGACATTGCAGTCCAAAAGGAAAGCTAAGCTTGCTTTAAAACAAATTAATTTCTGAGGTGGTGTATCTAAGTGGTCATTTAGAATTGCTCTCAACAAATACGATTTTGTGGGTAGTTTCCTTCTGAACCCAAATTTAAAGTTGTAGCATTTGAAACAGTTCTTTTGTTTAAAACAGCCCATCTATACTTCATTTACCTCTAACTTTTATTGTACATATTTCATCAGTTTCTGCGAAGTTTATTTCTAATATACTGAAACCTGTTTTATGTACTGTGCCCTCTGTTCATAACCACTCTGATCTAAGCAGCTTTCTTTCAGCAGGTTATAGAATTTGGGTGTACCATTCCTCCTTTGCCTTTCTTCTCACGAAGTAGAAGGCTTCTTTTGGCTTTTTTGTATTTCAGACAAGAAACTGAAAGCTCTTATGTATGTTCCTGTTAGAGTAGGTCACATTGAATTATTTTGAAATACTCCTATCATGACATGATGTGAAATGCAAGAGACATGCTGCTCCTTGAAAATAATCAAGATTTAATTAAATCTTGAATACTTGTTTTTCTCTGCAATAGCAGTATTTCATTGTAAGTGTCAGGGAAGGCATGACAGAAGATCATGATTCATAATTGCAACTTACTTCCTTGCGAACATGAATATTAAAAACTTGATGAAGCAGTGGCAGCCCGAGGTCTTTCTTTTTTTCCACTTTGGTATGACCAGTGAAAATGGTTTGTGAAAACATGCTTTTTTCTTTCCTTTTTTCAGGGGTTTTGTGTATGACAGCCGAAACAATTTACAAATGCGAGGTTTGGTCATATTGCTGATTTCCAAAGCTGCTGGACCCAGCACGGCAGAGCTCTCTTTCCAGCACAACATGGTCAGTGGAATTTATTCCAGGTACGTAGTAACTGTCTTCAGCGTGATACCCTAGGGTATATTTAATGGGCATTTTCATGGTAGTATCAAAGCATCTTAAGTGGCGTGTTCAGTTTAGGAAAATCAGTACTTACCTGATCACAAAACTTGGTTCTTCAGGTTTTTTATAAGCTTTCCACAGTGAAAACCATGTTTTACTGTTTGTGTAGCTCATATCTTAATTGTGGCTTTTGGGCAGAACCAAATTGAGGCCATTTGGGTCAAGACAGTTGAAAATTTAAGAGGTACTTGGAATTAAAAAAAACAAAGATGCTAGAAAATGTTTTTAATTAGAGTATTTTCATTTTGATTTACTCTGATGTTATTTGGGTACACGTGCTTACTAGAAGTTTCAGAGTGAGAATCCAGCCTTGTGTGACACTAGTTGGTTTGACTGAGCACTTAAGTTTTTGTATAGCCCATTTGAAGGATATGTTCCCACGAAACAGCAGCATAGAATAAAGTTTTTACCTCCCACATGTCGCAGCAGATTTACTGAACTTACCACTGCTGTTCCTCAGGCTTTCACGGAGATGTTTCTGCTTCATTGTGTTCCTAAATATTTTTTAAGTTTTTAAGCTAAGTTACTTAATACTAGTAAAAACAGTAATCAAAAATCAGTGGTTGCTGTCCTTTGTATATTGGACAGTGAACTATTCCGTTGAAGTAAGTAATGAGATCTGCTTGAAAAATTGTAAAATTTGAATTTTTTAAAATCCTTTTGAAAAATCATGTGTGCTGCTTGGTTGAGGAAACAAGACTGTTGTATTTTACGTTAATTGTATTTCTGACCACTGTGATATATTAAATGAAGATGCACAAACTTAGTGACATGTTTGTATCCTGATTTGGTTTAAAATGCAGAGGTAGAATTTTAGAATTGAAAAGACCAAACAAACGAAGATGTTAAAATATATGTAGTATCTTAAAATAGCAGAGAAGGAAAATATGTATGAATTGATACAGACAGAAATAACAATAAGTAAGAAAAAGAACAAGACTGTAAAAGAGGCTTGTTATGGAAGACTTTGTTGTCCCTTTAGTTGTTTAATTTGATTCTTGTTTAGTTTCATCTGTAATGTCCCCTTAGGGTTGTAAAATTTTTATATTTATATGCAAATGATGCTGTATGAAAGCCTAATTCTAGTTAGTTAATTATGGCACATGAGGTATTTTAGTTTGTTTTGTAAATGAATAAAAACGTTTAATTTACCTTAAATGTGCCTCGTAGAAGAAGAGAAAAAGCATTATTTTTTTGATAAGTAAGTTCTTGAGTATGATGATTCTGACCATGGAGGAAACGTTTGAGCATTTAAAGCTGCCGTTGGGAAGGTGACTAGTGGAAGTGTTCATTAAGGAGCAAATAAAACCTTGAATTAATAATGAGCCATTTGGTGTAAATGGACATAATTGGAATGATGCCAGTTCAACCAGCTGAAAATCTAGCCTAATAATCTAAGTTTGAGCAAGTCAATAGCCATTATAATATCTAGTTCAGAGTTACAAAGGTACTCCAAAAATGAAGCACTTTTGAATACACCCACACAGGTTCACTTAAGGTTCATTACTGTCTACAGAAATGATAACTGTGGAGTTGTTAATTTAAATGGATTTTCAATGACACTTTAAGTCTGCAGAACGGTGTAAATATGAGCAAACTTGCTGCTGTGTTGTTTCATTTTGTGTCATAGTGGTCAGTTCTTGCCCTACACTGAAGTCACTGTGGGCTTTGATTTTTGACTTTGGATTTCTTTCTTTATTTAAAGTACGTTTGCAGCTACACTTTTAAATGTGAGTCTTATTTCTGATTTTCATTTTTCCATTGTATAAAGCTAAGAGAACAAGCAGCTTGTAAAATTGTCATCTTAAAGGGCTTTTGTGATTTTTTTTAATGCATTACAAATGGTGTTTTACAAACTGCTTTCTTCTGAATAAGAACAAAAGGATATTGTTTTCCATCAGTACATTTTTGTCTGATATCTTGGTTGCATTGTAATTATATATGGTGTGTATATTGGACATATATATCAAAGGCAAACTATATCCCTCAGTGATATGAAGTGAAGAAATATGCTTAATCCTTTATTGTTCAAGGTCTCCAATGTTGGAAAGCATTCTTTGGAAATAGATTCTTGCAGATTTTCAGCTCAACTGTAAAGTATACAACTCTTTTTGTTGCCATGCCATATAATTACTTCATCTTTATATATAATATTTTACTGGAAATATTATTTCTGGCGCTGTAATGAGCATCTTTATTGCCTGATACTTATGTGCTGTGAACATTATATTGTGGACTATTAGCTGGGATATGGCTCACTTGATTTTAGGATACTTAGCAGTGATTAATTAATTACATTTCTGTAATCTGAGCATGAGCTAAGTTGTTCCAATACTTGTCAGTGACTGCACCCACCCAGTTTTTCTTTTTCCAGTGTTTGTGTTGGAACTAGTTCTTGTGCTGTCTTTAAATACTCAGTTCTGCAGCAGATAACTGGGTTACATCAGTCCACTGTAGCTGGTGCTACAGTCAGTGTACAATGTGTGACCAGGAAGGTGTAACAGTGTGGTAAATTATTTAACTTAGAAAACCACAAAAAAATGTGATGGACTTTTTCATCCTGGATTTTGGCACATTCTGTGTAACTTCCTCTCCCTATTTCATATTCTTGAATGGCAATATAAGCAAGCAATACAATAACTATAATTAAAATAGACACCGAGACCTAAATTTGGAATAGCAAATACTTTTTTGTCTTATTGTGTTCTCTAGAAATGTCAATTCATGGAACAATTGACCTAAATGTATAAAAATAGATTATCTAGCTTCTTAGTGGGCATCTGTTTTTCACTGGTACACAATGGAACAAAACTGATGGCTGCTACCAGAGAGCAATGTTTTCGAGAATAATGAGGATTACAATTTAGGTAGTTACAGGAACAGGACTAGTGTAGTTAAATGGTGCTGCCGCTGGCCAGCATTGCCTCCAGCTTTAGCACTTCATAATTTGCCTGCATTAAGCTGGGGCCATGGGGGTCACTGTATGCAAGGATATTGCCTTATGAGCCATGCTGAAGATAAGGGAGGAAATGTTATAAAAGCCTGCTTGGCATGCTTTACTCTGTGCAGCCACCTCCCTATCATGTTGGCAGCAACCTGACTTTATTCCTATTGGCAGGGAAAAGAACCTGGCTTTATTTCCAGCTCAGCACCAGTGATCCCAAAAGAGGATGAAGAGAAGTAGCAGAATGATAAACAGCTCTATTTCAGGTGCTGGACAGATTTCCAAAAGTTGAAACTTTCTGCTGGTCTCTTAGCATTAAAGAAAATATTTCCTTGGCTACAGAAGCATTGCAAATATAAGGATGAATTGTAGTGCTCACTACAGAGGATGCAAGCAGTCATGTAAGGGTTGATGTCATTGCCTGTAGTCAAGCAAAGTATGCATCCTATATTCCCTTGAAACTCCTTACTCCTGTGCTGAAGAGAAAGCAGAACTCCCATTTGGGTTTAGGCAGAATGGAAGTAACAATAATTTATCATGTGAATGGTATCAGAGAACACCTTAGATGAGACACAGGAGGCTAGAGCTTCATAAGAGCTTTGAGATGTATTTCCTAACTGGTGATTATACTAGAGCCTGACACTACATTGCCTTCTGTCAGAGCAAAACTCACTTGTATACTCACTCAAGTATGCAGCTTGCTGTTATTTTACTTTACTGATGAAAGTGAGGTTTTTAATTGGAACTCCAGGGTCATGTGGTCTCTGAACACTGACAGCTTTATGCTTCATGGTTGGAGCTAGATTCTTACAGCTGAAGATACCAAGACTGGCTTGGATCCTCTCACTAAGTACCCAAAGGGGTATCTTTTTCTTTTCATGTCTGGCACCACCAGAGACTACTGGCTGGAGACTGAGGAATCACCTTGGCTTTGTATTGAGCAATGAATTCTTGACACAGCCTCTGTATTGCAGCTTAAAATGCAAGTGACACCAAAGAACAGGCTTGGGCTGTCTCTTCAGGACTCAGTATCCTTGGCTCTAATACAGTAAGTTAGCTTTTTCTCTCTCTCATGTTTTGCCTTTTTTTTTTTTTGCCATTAGTGCCAATTTTAAAAATACCCTCTAGTACTGACATCCATTGAGTCAGCTCTGCAGATTTCCTTGGATGCTTATCAGAGATTTAAACAAAAAAAATCCTTTTTTCAGTCAAATCTGCTGGTGCGTTGACAATGGTGGATACTATGGTCATTGAAAAGCAAAGACCTTTTTATTCTACCAGTTTCTGCGTGTGTCTCTCTCTTACTGTAGATGGGAACATATAAAGTACTGATACTGAATCTGATAAATTCACCTGGTAAATTCAGTAGATTGCTGGATTTGGACTATCAATACTGGGCTCTGTCTTTGCCCCTTCTTCAGAATGATGCAGCTGGTCTTTTTAGCTCTGGGAATTCATCTTTTTGCAAGATGAACATGCTTTCCTGCAAGAAGGTACTTGCTGGATAAACTTGTCTCTGAATCAGAATCCTTCCTGCTGCTTAGAAGAGTAGTGGCAATACTGTAGTGACAGGAATCATGAACACAGACTCCTGTTACTTAGTGTTTTAGTAATCATTTTGGAACCAGCGTCGATGCTGCTTCCAATAAAAGCCCGATTTAAGAGTAAGTAGGCAGCAGATGCCAACTCCTTGTTATGGTGATGGGTCTTTTGCTCATTGTATTCCAGTAGTAATACTTATTAATTGCCCAGGGTACCCTTTTTGGGAGTCTACACACACGCGGGTCACACAGTCTGATTTCACATGCTTTTTGTCATTGTGGCTATACCAAAGTCATGTTGTTCTAACCTTCTCTAAAGGAACACTGTTTTTGAATTTAAATCCAGATCCTAACCAGAGAACCATTCACCCTTAGGTTGCTTTTTCTCTGAAAGATTCTTGGGTTGCAAAGAAGTCAGGAGGGGTTAGGTGTCTTC